AATTCAAGTCATCTATCCACTCCCTCTCCACAAGATCTCGTCCTTCCGACCTTTATACCCCTTTCCACAAATCGGCCTCATTTCAACACTCCTTTATTGTCCGATCCACCACATTTTGGAATTCCATCCCACTTAAAATCCGCCATGCACCATCCTTATCCACATTTAAAACCCTCCTTTTCCAATTCCTCCTTACAATTCAATCAGACGCTGGGTAGCCTATATTGTATTATTATACTATTGTTGCATTGTATGTATGTATATGTGTATGTATGTATATGTATATATATATTAATATATTTATATTGTATATATACTATTGTACTATTATTGTATTCTCACTATTATTGTATTATTGGGTGTATATATTGTGTATGTACGATTACACTATTATTGTATTTCGATTATACTATTAGGTTCTACGAACATACTACTATTACTATAACATCTTTATTATTATTTGTCGCTCATTTATAATTTCATAGCGTATTGTGTATAGCAACTATTTTGCAGTATTAGGACATTATTTCTCATATTATGGCTTCCGATATCTGTACAGTTATGTAAACACTTCTTTTATCCCTTATTTTTTAGTTGTTTTTTTTGTTTGTTTGTTTGTTTTTGTTTATTGTAATATACATTTTGGCCAGATGTAATGTTTAATTTTATGTACAATATTGTTATTCTCAAGGGACGTAGTCCCAGAATAAAGTTGATTCTTCTATCTATCTATCTATCTATATATATATATATATATATATATATATATATATATATTAGAAAAACGTTAGGTAATAATAAAAAATAATATAGCATCAATTTTATTATAATTTCTTCCTCTTCTACCATTAATACACACGCAAACGTGTTTTCCTTAATATATCTATATCTTTAAAACATTCGATTTGTAGAGAAGTTAAGGGATGGTAAACAGATAATCAAGTATGTATGAATTTGATCAAATTCCATCCACTACTTCCAAAAAAATACTTCCGCTTTCACATGAGGAAATGTATTATTTGACACGGCGGTAGTTTGAAAATGGCTTGTCAATGTGACCCAAACTTGGAGGAAATTTGGAAAATAATATAGAAATTACTTAGGATCGATTTCATTAATTCCATTTAACAATTAAACTTAATATAAATAATTGTTAACAATACAATGGCGGTAAAAAGTGGAAGGCATCGATCATATGTCAGGTTAGTACAATATTTGTATGGGGTTTTAAATTTTAGGTTTTATTCAAAAAGTTAATTTATACTGTATTGTTTGGTCCATTATAAACGTTACTAGCATGACAAATGCTGCTGTTACTTAGATTTCGTGTAATTTTCAAAAAATTGAAAATAATCTTTATTTTGAGTTCGTAAAAAAAGTCTTATTTAGGATTTTGTGTATTTCTATTAAAATTCTACCAGCTCATCCTGGTCCCGATTTTCTCCTTAAATATCAATGTTGTGTGAACTTCACGCATAGTTTTTTTTTAAGCTTAATTAGTTTTGTTCTGACTCAAGAAGGGTATTGGTCTCGTTAACTCAGGACAAACAAAAAGTTTAATTTAATTTAAATTAAAACAAGAATATAAATAATAAAATATTTATAATTTACTTGATAAGGCAGAAGATGGATAAATTCGATTTTTTTTCAACTTAAATAAAAAAAAAAATAGAGTGCTACCAGTGGCTAGTTTCTCAACAAGAATGTTTCATGTAATAATATTTCTCTGTACAAATTTACTAGATGTATTCATACTAATACAGTTGTAAATATCATAATAAAAGTTTAAAAAAAAATAAATAAAAAAATATTTCTTTTAACTTTTTAGTTCTCTTAACATTATCCGAGGATGATATTTGAAGACAAAATACACTGAATAATACTGATAAAATACTGATATAAAATGTTGGCTGTTATTAGAAGAAGAGGTCGGAGATGAAAGAAGGTGCGGAAAAATTGTATTTGTCTCTCCTGGCAATAATCCTAGTTTCGGCCCTGAACTTGATAATGAACCACCTCGACTTGATTCAAAGGTAATGAAATGTGAAATACATAATATTAAAAACTTTTTTAAATCCGATTCACAAAAATTGAGTATTTTTATTTCATAATATATGTAGACCTCTAAATAAACATAATGCAACTCATTCGGCGAAAAGATGTCAATGCTTTTAACGTGACTTCACCGCTAACTGGTATTTCTCCGATTAAACAGCACTAACCGAGACAGAGGTACCAAATAATACTACCGAGGGCACAATGACCCTTGGAGAAGAGTGGACAGGCTTCTTATAACTTTCCCTGATCCTCTCAGGGCCAAGGTTGAGAGAAAGTAGCACCATTAGCGATGTATCCGTCAGCTTTCTTGAGAACGATCTCTGGGGATTACATCCAACCTTGATTGCGGAATCTAGTGTATGGTAAGGAAGCTCAGATCTGAATAATTAAGTTTTTACTTTCTTTTCTACCGATATAGAGTTTTTTTTTGCCCTTCCCTTCCTTGCTTTTTTGGTTATACGGGGTTTTCCTGGACCAGGGGAGTGGGTGGAGGATTTATTTCCCTGTTCAGGATGCGAACTTGTAATTATTTTATCATGTAAACTTATTTTCACCATATGGCATTAGCGTTGGGTGTAAGTATGCTCGGGTACTCCCCCTCCCCTACTAACGATATAGCTATGGAAAAAGAATGATATTCAAAATGTAAAAGTCATATGTTGTTAGGTAATACAAATTCAAATTCGGTTATACGAGTTTTGATTGGTAATACTAATCTTAATATTGTACCTCGGCATACCACTAAAAGATATCTAAGAAAAGAACTACAATTTACGTTCATTTTTTATTTTTCATGTTCAACATCTTATAAACTACCTACAGAACAAATTAATTAAACAAGGAAAATTTAATTAAAACTGAGAGCTTATAGCGCAAGGTTCATCCCCAAGGTCGATATCGCATCGAAGCAAAGACAATTTTTAGTCCACATTTAGCCCCAATTCTGAGAATTTTCACAAATACAATGATCAGATGAAGCTATTTACGAGGTTTCAGGCGGATTTTAATAATTTGATAAAAAAAGGTCTGTACCATGAGCCATATTTATACCATATTTTAGAACGCATGTACTAGTGAACGCGCGTTATCCCGTTCGGCTACTCCGATCCCTAAAGTTTCTCAATTTTGCAATATGTATACAATGTTATAATACGAAATTCCGAGTTTACAATTTTTATGGCTGGTAGCATGAAAATCCCTATTTAGTTGTTTTAAAGACTTATTCGTATCTTAAGATGGAAAGTATTCGTTGGTTCTTGTAACTTAAATTAACAAAAAAAGTATAATATTTTTTTTTATCCCTTCTTTCCACTGTTTTGTAGGTAATTCGTAATTGTATTACTAATCAATTTAGAAATATAAAAAAATAATTTTAATGTTAATATTGAAACGGTCAAATAATTATGATATAAATGGAAAAGTCCAAACCATAAAGCATTGAGACTCTATCATACAGATGAAGAACCAGACAACGTTTTGCCAATTCAGGCATCATCAAGACAGAAAAAAACAAGATCGCATATTCGCAGAAAGGATACAATTTATCTTTGGGTTATAGCAAAAAGTCTCAACTGACATTTCTTAACCTTTAAGAATTAAGAACTTTGAAGAAGGTTCCCCTTATGAAATCAGAAAATTGTGCAGTTGTTTTAACACGGTTTGTGTCATTTTCATGCCTTTAAAGGGTTTTTGTATCATTAATTAATGGTTTAATAAACACTCACGAGACCTCGCCGAATAATATAAAATATCGAACTTAAAAATCTATCCAGCCGTTCTCTGAAAAATCGTTACATATATTTTAACAAATCGATTAAACAAAATTTATTTAATCACGGTTCTTTATTTTTAGCTCAAATTGTTTCAAAACACTCAGGGGATCTCAACGAATAATTTGAGCCACCAAACTTACAAATTATACGTTTATGCAACCTTCCGTTTCTTTGAGAATGTATTTGGATAACTTGCTGAGGTGTCTAGAAGAGACTTCCATGGTTCATGTCGCCTCACTAAATTTTTTTATTACGGAACATTTTAAGAGGGTTTTAGAGTTTGAGGGGAGCACATTTCGAAATAGTTATGAATTTATCATAGAACAAACCGCTGAAAATGTAATCATATATGACCTATGATTTTTAAATGCTATTTTAGCTTGCATTGTTTGTAAGAAGAGGAGAGCAATTAATATCTTGGAAGGAGGGGAGGGGGAAGTCCATGAGCCCTCTATCTTGTTAGGGGATGTACACCCCCGGATATATATATATATATATATATATATATATATATATATATATATATATATATATATATTTTCTGTCTTTCTTTTTCTTGTTTTTTATACAAATTATCTTGTTTTTTCTTTCTTAATGATGCCTAAATTGTTGAAACGTTCAAGAGGAAATCATAAAGCAGACCGAAAGTGTAATCGTATTTGACTTATGATTTTTAAATACTATTTTAGCTTGCACTGTTTATAAGATGAGAAGAGCAATACAATATCTTGGTAGGAGGGGAGGAGGAAGTCCATGCGCCCTCGATCTTGGGAGGGCATCCTGGAACGGGCATCCTGGGATGGGCATCCCTGGAAATGTCGTTTTTTTTTCTGTTTTTCTTTTTTTTTTTTGTTTTTTAATAGAATTATCTTGTTTTTTCAGTCTTAATGATGCCTAAATTGTTGAAACCTTCACCTATAGGTTATAAACTCAAGACTTTATCGTTTGGATTATTTTGTTTATATCTTAATCACTATTTGCCTCTTTTTGAACTATACTATTTATAGTAACTTTTACATAATTTTAATAATTTAAAAAAAATTATTCATATAATCTGAAAATGATAAGGTAATTTGGAGGTATGGGGCTGGTAAACATGATACTGCTTATTTAAGATTAAATATAAAAAAATATTATTTATTTTATAAAAGTATAAAAAATATTTAATAAGGCTTTTGGTTCAAAAATTTCAAGTATAAAAGTCTGTAGGCAGTCAGTCTGGCACTAAAGGTACACTAGAGGCACAGTACACAGTACACTATACTATTGGTGGTAGAGGAGCTGGGGTTCGTAGTGCTGGGCCTGTGGCGCTGGTGCGGGGTGCGATGAGTGGCCGCTCCTTGTGACCACGGCGTTGAAGCCGTTGTGGTCATCGGCCTGGTAGTCCACCGTCCTAGTGCTGCCGTCAGGCTCCACCAGCGAGTACTGTCCCTTCACCACGTCCCCGTCCCGCTCCTCTGTCTGCTGCTTGATGTCCCCGGTATGGGTGTCCTTGACGCCGTAGTTGAAGGAGTACCGTGGGTGAGACTGTAAATAATAATGGGGTTAATAAAATGGAAGAATATAATAGATTAAAAAAAAACAATAAAGAAAGAAAAGTAAAAAACATACTAATCATAATTGCTTCCCTTCTAACAATCTCACATGCTTTATTTTGTAATAACTATAACCTTTCGGTGTGTAGTAATTTCACATTCGTTTTAAATTAAAAAAAAAGTAATAACAAACAAACTCTTGAAAGGTAATTAAATTACCAACAAAACAAAAAAAAACAGCATCGGAATCGAACCAGTATTAGCGATGATACAGCTTATTCTATTTTTTAACTTATTACTTTCCTACCTATACTAGGTAAGGAAAGTATTGCAATCGGGTCAAATTTCCGATATGCGCTTTTCGACGGATCTATACCCCTGAGTCCGAAAAATACATTTTTAGCAATTGGCCTGCCTGTCTGTCTGTCTGAAATTCCCTACAAAGTCATATAAAAATCGTTCATTTTGGACAACTATTAACGAAGTTATAGCTATTCAATTTCCAATGTAAGATTGCGGGTTCATATCCTGGTGTCAGAAAGGGGTGAATGAGAGAATAAAGGTGACTAAGTGAAAGTAAGAAAATCACACAATCCTCACTATTTCCTCTACTTTTAACAGAAATTATTGTTTGACAATACTAAGCTATGGAAAAAAGTTTTTGATCGGCAATATTAGTGAGTGTTGAAATTTTCACACTGATCTACCTTAAACCGGTCTACATTGCTTTAGTTTATCTAATAAATCGTACTCAAATCTTTTGTTTGTTCGATTTTTAGGGAAATAAATCTAGTTCAATTCTTTTTTGTTTCTTCATGAGCATATTTAAAGATATAAAAACTTTTCTGAAATAGGCAGGAAAGTGGTGTGAGTGGACAAACCAGATATTTTATTTAAGAATCTCAATGATTGACCAACAGTCGGAAATTGACCAGTGTATAATAAGTCTGGATTGCTTCTCTCTCGCTCTCTCTCAAAGGCATTAAAATGAAATAAAAAATCTTAAGAAATCTCAAATTAAGGTTGTGCAGTGATATAATAAAGTCAGTTCTGTTTTATGGCTGCGAGAGCTGGACACTGACCTGGACTGGACACGAAGTATTGAAAGATTTGATCAGAGTACTAATGCATAGAGGACAAGGACCAAATAACTGCTTACAGAAACTGCTCAATCAATATCCCGTGACATGAAGGGAAGGAGGTTTAGATTGACAGGGCTTGTAACTCGGAGCAATCCATTTGGAAGCCTTCACACAACAATGAATGCTAATATAACGAAGAAGGCCAAAAAACAAATGGATAGATTGAATCAAAGAAGGTGCAACAGAGCTGCAAGCAGACAACTGTAAAGAAATAGCCCAAGAAAGATACAAATTGAGAAGGCTTGTTAAGTCGGAAAAAATTAATTAATAATCCATTATATAACAATTTTCTATAGATCTATGTATAGATTCATACCACTCAATTCAATTCCAAAACTTCGAAATTAACTTAAACAAAAGACAAGGAAGAACTGACAAGACGATACAATCAACTGTCACATCACATGGACTACATTTCCTCACTTTACATAGGAAACAAGCGACTAATCTATAACACTGTACTGAAACCAATTTGAACACACGGAGCAGAACCAAGTGGTTCAGCTTAACAAACAACTGCAAGACGAACAACGGTTCCCAGAATTGTTCAAAAAATTGTATATTTCTAACCGCACTATACGTAATGACTTAAACATTTTAGTGGTATATGTAATATACATCCACGACAAATACATTTTTCACCATTCAACACAATTCATTCTTTTTGTCAGTATCCTCCACCCTGTTAACTAGTCAACGCACATTAAAAAAAAAATGGCTCCGAGATATGCTGTTCCATAGTTATCTAAATCAGTTCCATTATCGAGTCAAATCAAAGAAAATTGTAAACTATCAGTTACATCAGATTTTCTAATCTTTACTTTAATTAAACAATTTTTCATAGACCTCATCCTAAATACGTACGTGGTCAGATGTAAAAAAATCACTAAAACAGATAAAAATCCTTCCTCAGTTTCATACTTCAAGGAGTACAGAGCGGGTTGGCAAATTCAAAAGACCTCCTGTATTTTCTTATTTAAAAAAAAAAAAGTCTTTTTCAATTTCATAATATTTATTTTAAGAATATGATAGGTATCTATAGGTTAATTTTAAAAAGTATAGAACTCCATTTAGGAATTAGGAATTTTAATTCCTGACATCAGTGAAATATTGGTTGAAAACTTTTAAATCGGTTGATAAGTAAAGTAAAATAAAAAAATTACTACTTTTTCGATAAGAGGTGAAAAATAATAGTCTATAATTTTGAATTTTCTTACAGCTTATTTGTTTATTTATAAATATTGCTGTCTATACTAAAAGATATAATAGTGGTCTACATTATTGTTCTTGTGAATAATTACAATAAATAAATAAAATAAAATGTATAATGATGGTAATAAATAGTATTCAAATTGGAAAAAAAATCTTAACATGGTTAAAATAATAATTATGAAATTTAAAAAAAAGTACTAAAATAGCTTTAGAGTTATAATCAAACTACTGAAAGTTTTCCGACTCTGTTTCTTCCTAACAGAAGGAGGTAAGCAGGATTCTATAAGAAGCTGCTCCACTGATACTAACTGATATCATCTCACGGTATTTGATTTTTCGTTAAAAAATATTTTTATCCCAGAAATAAAATTTCATTATTATGTTTCTTTGTACGTCTAGTAAAGACATTCAAGTAGAGAATATTTCCGAATCATGTTGAGGAAAACCAGTTCGATAACCAGAGCAGAGGAAAGAAAAAGGTGTAAGAAAACAAAGATACATCTCGGCTGTAGTTACAGCTTATTAAGAGGAATAATTAAGTAGAATTAGGCAGAAATTACAGTGGAACTAGCTTGTTATTGATCCTTTTTAAAGAACCAGTTCCGCACTAAACAGTTCTCAGGAGATATTTCAGGTTCTCCCAGAGAATGTTGTCTCATCTAAGTCACTAATGAATTAGTTATAAAATAAATGTGCTTTTAAATTATAACTTAATACTTGTCGATAACATATTTTTTATTTAACTATGTTCTAAATTTTGCATTATTTTTAGTGGCGAAAGAACCGTTTAAATCTGCATAGATGTAGATAATTCTGCGGTATTGGATACATTCCGATCAAGTGAGTTGACAGAAATCAAAACTGCATATTCTCTTAAAAATAGTTTTGAACACAAAAAGACTAAATCTAAACTATGATCTTAATAGTTCCCTGACAGTAACAATGCATTAGTATCACACTCATTAGAGAGCATTCTTTTAAAATTCTACTAAGAGGAATAATTTAAAAATTTATATTGGTTGAACTAATCCAAGTAAGAATCTTAATAAAAGAAAAAAACTTATGATTCCTTTGATGTAAAGAAATAGATGTTTTCTTCGTACCACGTAATGGCATTATATTTATACACGTCGTTATATGTTATTAAGCTGTCCGGATTTAATAAAAATTTAGTTCTTGAGATAAAATTTTGTTTAAAAGGTGAATAATGAATGAATAAAGGTTGAGTTAATAACGTGATGCACAAGAAAGGGCGATCTTAATTTTTGATCTTTTGCTAATCTATTTTTCTTAAATCCTAACATGAAGAGTCTATATTTTCTCGACACGATTATGAAATAGCCCATTTCTAAAATCAGTCTTTTCTGATATCTGACATTAATGATCCAGATTTATAAAATTAATACTAATAAATACACTGATTAATATTCCAGTTTTGAGGCATGGATGTGGTTATAAAATTCGTGTTCTGTACAAATTAATCTATTTCAGACCTAAATGAATAACGTAATTAATATTAATAACTATAAAGCCATTATAAAGAACAGTTAATTAGCCAAAGTTTCGCCAATTCAGGCATGATCAGGGTACAAAACGTTAACAAATATGCAGAAAGAAGGAAAGAAAAAAAATTTAAATATTCGCTATTGAAATCTCACCAAGCCACATTTTGTTTCACACTCACAACACATTTTTTTTTATTTATGTTTTAAGTACGAATATGTATATATGTTTTCCTTTATCTCTGCTAATCAGCTGTTCAAATAACATTCCTCTCCTGTTTCCTTTAGTATGTATTTGGATGGCTTGATGAGATGTCAATAAGCATAGGTTTTTTTTTCTCTTCCCTTCTTTCTGCATATTTGTATTGCACATATGCCCTAATAATGCATGAATTGACGAACCGTTGGCAAGTCAACTGTTCACCTGTTTATTTGAGATTTATGGATTTATAGTTTGGATTGTTTCATTTATAATGTCTCACTCGAGCTGCTTGCTTATTTCAGTCATTAATCTCCTTGTTCAATGTTACTGGTTTAGAGGAAGGACCTAGAAATCTTAAGGCGTTTCGACAGTTTTCATAAGCCATTTCGATTGACCTTCTTGTTCCTAACTAGAGAAGAGCAAACGAAACCTGTCCTCCAGATCCTGCTGCCTTAGAAGTCTAATTTTACGATCTGGTAGAGGTTTATCGTAGCTGGACTGAGGAGAAAGCTGCCCTGCCTATTCCGGTTAGGAATCTCCAGTCTTCTTTCCCTACAATTACGTTCTAATTACAGACCATTGTATAATCACTTATCCAATTCTCTTTGTTTTTATTATTTCTATCACCTTGCATAGCCCAAATAATTTTGATCTTAGCCTCCATAAATAAGACTTAAACAGAAGCAACTAAAATATACATATTTTAAGTTCAGAGTTGTTTCATTCAACACTTCGTCCTGTTTTCTTGTTAATCTTAATCTTAAGAGAATAGATCATTCACTTTCATTCTAAAGAATTAATTTTTAGGTTGCAGAATGATCACAGACTAAGGTAGAGCAACAATACAGAGAGAAAAACAATGTCCCGATAGAATCTGCACTTATGCAATTTTGAACACATTATTAGAACATCTAACCTGGTTTGAGATGTGATAGAATTTTCATGTACCCAATTGGTATTCAGTTATCCTCTCTGATAATGTCTCTGGAAGTTAAGTCTAACTAAGGAAAACGTTACGCTAATTGCGTTTCTAAGACTTCCATATTCGGTACAAGCTTTCTTCAATAAAACGGTATACTGAGGTGACTTTTCTCTCGATACGAGTTTCTCCAAGAACAAGTGACATAATGGATAATAGTGCGGAGGCAGACCATGACATCTCTGGAGATACAGGACTCGCTTTCATTGAGAGCAGTTTGTATGTATCAGCAGTTGAGATCTTGCGTTTGTTTTTGTTATGGAAGGCCACTCCTTTACAAAGGGATTGTAACGTTAATTGGAGGAGAGGGCAGCTCTTCGTTATGGGAGAGAACATATCGGTAGAGTTAGTATGCGACTACCTCAGAAGATCAAAAGATGGTTTATATACTACTGTAAAGACCAAACCTAGTAAATAAATCTCTATCAAACTTTTCAAATTGGTGTTATATAGGAATAAGTTTGGGAAAAATAAAATTGGAAAATATAGAATACATAAACGAAGTAACTTAAACGATCCAGAAGGGTTTTAAATTTTGTTAAAAAAACAAACTATTATTGTTCGCAATGAACTTAAAACAATCATAGCAGTAAATAATTGTACACTAACAAGCACATATAAACATCGTCCATCCCAAGCGTTTGAACTTGGCCAGCACGAAGAACACGACCAGTTTGGAACGAGCGTTTTACAAAATTGTATAGAAATTGCTGTTAATCATGTAGAATTAAAGTTTAAATCGTTTCTTGAATTCTTAAGAATATATTGTTTCTTTCTAATGAAATCTCAGTTCTGACTGTAACTGCAATATAATTATAAATTGGACGACTGGGATCAAGAGGAATTTTTTTGTAATCAGCATGCTTAAGTTTATTTGAATTCCGACGAATGTATAGTGTCTGATTTCCATCTACCACATTAGCAGTAACATGCATAAGAATTATAGAATTATAGACGCAGCGAATTATATTCGCACTAAATAATTATATTTTTTCATTCATACTTATTTGAAAAGATATTACTGTGGACACACGTATCATAATTTGTATCGGGGTCTCAAGAAGTACCAGTATAATATTTGAGCTTCACAGGCTGTTCTGCGTTTATATTAGAATATTATATAATATTTAATTGAATTTTAGAGTTAAATTAAGGTTGAAATTTTACAGATATGCTGTGCTCAATTTACATACAAAATTAATTTAGAAATATAGGAAAAATCTATTGTATCTATAAATTCCATAAAGGCATCTATGGAGCCGTATAGGAATTGAAACCTCCAAAGATATCGGAAGATTGTATTACATGCATGAGAAAAATCAGTGAATTTCAAGAAAAATAAAACAAACAATATTTTCAATAGAATAAATCACTCGAAGATGAATTCAAAATAAAAGACGTACACAAATGAACTAAGTGTGGAGTGTCCAAAACCAACGTAACTTAATGAAAATACTTATGAGACACACTTATTTTAATAACATGCGTGGTTCATTATTAATTTATATTTAATAAAGCCTATTTTTTATATTCCTGTAGATGTTTCATATTATTACTTTGACTATGTAATATATTTTTAAGGATCGTTCTATTCGCTCCATTAATTCTTTCTAGTAATAATTAGCTAATAGTCAAAACTCATTTATAAAAATAAAGTTTAAGTATTATTGTTATTAATAAAATCAATATATTAGTTTTATTTTTCATTTTCATTACTTTTTAATCCATTACCAGTTTATGGCTCTAAACATTAAAGTTTAATTTTTTTTTTTTATAAAACTGTATCCTTATGTTCACGCATGTATTATTATGTATACTTTGTGCATGTATTAAGTACAAATTAACAAATACTCGGTACTCTTACAGAGTTACTGTATAAAAGAAAAGGAGAGGCCAAAAAAAACAGTATTCGAGTTATCTATGATTGTTTGGTTTGCTTTATACAAACCCTTTTCGATGCGGAATATACAAATAATTATTATCTCACAGCTAATGAATTAATTACGACATAGTAAATAAATGTTGTAAATAATATATTAGCATACGTCATATGGCTCAGGTTCGTGATGTGCGACAGGTGCAGGTTGGTGGTATGCGGCGGACTGGTAAGCCGCAGGTTGGTAAGCCGCAGGCTGGTAGGCCACAGCTTGGAGCTGCCCGTATCCGTCGTACTCCACTGGGTAAGACACGCAGGCTCCTAAGAGCACCGCCAAAGAGATCAACTGAAAGAGAATGCAGAACTTCAGTAAATTTGATTGCTAAATTAACATTAATATTGTAAAGAAAAACACAGATCTTATATTTAATTGGAAACTGTTTACAGAATACAAATCAAACAACAGAATGGTATAATTTAACAAATTAAAAAAATATATATATATATTTATACATATGTATGGCATGAGGCTCATTTAAAATGATTTATATAAAATGGCATAAATATTTAGTCTAGAATCAGAAGACATGGCAACTAAAATCATAATTTATAAAAAAATAAATAATAATAATGATAATTTATAAAGTAACCAATAAAATAAATACTCCATAGTTAAATTAATAATCTAGCTAAACATACATTAAGACGCACTCCTTCAAAATATCTTTTTTTCTATGCAGAATATAATAATAAGAAGACAATTGAAACTCACGTTAATCTTAGGTATCAATATTATTTTCCCATTTACGTTATTTAAACTTTTTAAGCTTAATCTAATTTTCATATATTTCTTTTTGTTTATTATCAAGTTCAATGATTGTACCTTATGATTTATTTTTTAATTAATTTAAAATGGGTCATTATTAGATAATTAACTGTCTATAAAACTTTATCAAGTTAATGACGCTAAAATAGGTATGCTTAAACAAAAAAAAAATCCGTGGCTTCTTCCATTTTATATTATAAAAAGAAGACTTCAAAACATTATTTTCAAGCTCGTTAACTAATAAAAACGTAACTCTGTAGAGAAAGAAAAATTTTCAAAAAAAAAAAAATCTACAAATAGTGGACAAAGAATTAATATTTCCAAGTAAGGCTATACTGTCTTGGGAGCAGGTAAAAAAGGTAAAAAAAGAAAAAAGAAAAAAGAAAAAGAGGACTTTTTGATGGAATCCCACCTAGATACAGGGAAAAAAAATATTAGGAATTGATTTGGATAACACTTTATGAACTAAGAGTTTTTGTCCATTGATTTCGATTGATGGAAATCTGTTTCGTTTTGTATCCACATTTTATATATCTACTCTCTATCTACCCCTGAAATTCACTTTTATTATTATTTCATTAAAAACTATTTAAGATAAGGAGTTGATCGGAGGAGGGGGGGAGGGGTGCGGTCAAATGAATACTAAATTATGGAAATAGTATTATTTAATTATTATGTCCGTAATAATTAAATATGCGGCATAATAATTAATTAATACTATTTCTATAATTTAGTATTTATTTCATACCCCCGATCAACTCCTTCTCATATTATATCTCGGTCAACCATCTCTACATCATTATAAACACTATTTAAGTTATTTTTCCTTTTTAAGATTTAATAACATTAACCGTGGGTAAAATGTTACTAAGTAGTACCCTGCACCATGTTTTCTTGCTTTATACACTTTAATTTATCACTTTTTTTTTTTAACTGATCGAAGAAATTTTTATTTCGATAGAAGGAAATGAAAAACAAAGCGAAAAATTAATAGTTCAATCAATCTTAATAATCTGGTTGTTGTTTTGGATCGGAGTCTCGTTTACACGAGGATCTGTAATAAAGTTAAATTTAAAGGAGGCAATCTCTATGAAAGAAAAATTATTCAAAGATTCTGGATCCATTAAAACAGATTTGACACCAGAACAACGTCTCATATTGAATCACGAATATTTTTACGACAGTTCACTATAGGAAGATAAGATGCTGTAAAAGCGAAATGTTTATGAAAATACACAGAATGGAGACTACAAAACCAGACTTGGCAGATACAGATCGCAGTCTTTATGAGGAGATTCGAACATGTAGCCACATCTACCTAAGGAAATATGCGCCACTAAACCTCCCAGTTTACTTTTTTGAATTCATATTTAAAACTAGCAGGGGAGATAAATTCCCTTTTTAATGAACTTAGCCGTATTTTGAACGTTCTTAGGATCTTACAACGATATGAGAAAACTAAATCTGTATTTAAACGACCATAGAGTTCGAATTCAAATATTTAAATAGCATTGTCATTTAAACAAGCAGCCTCTAATAATAAAAAAAATTATCAAGTAAAGTATAATTTTAGTTTATTTGATAATTACCTATCTTTAATTATATGGATAACAATGAACTAAGCTATGTATTGTCGCTCTCGGGTTTTGTGATAACAAATTTTACAACGTGACATTTATAATATTTTATTGTTCTTATTTCTTTAAATTCCGAATAGGTCTGACCGTTCACTGAACCGTGTCATATGAACTGAAAGTGCGTTCACTGGAATCGCCATTCAGGCGAACGAATCTTTGCCTAATCTAAGTATTAAAAAGATTTGTACTGTTATTTTTTTCTAAACAAAATGTCATAGCGTTGTAAGAGTAAATTAAAGATGAAATCAGTACAATCCCGATCTACAATAATATACGTTATCGATACTCCTGCAGAATAGAGGTTCTAATACTTGCAACATAAGTCAAATATTGCTGATGTAAAATACTAACATTTAAAAAGTTTCTGCTTCTTGTTTTCGTTATTACATAAATGTATTTAATATTATAAAATAAATTCTCAAATTAATAGTTGACAAAGGTTTTTTTAATTTGTGTGTTAGTATGCACAAAGTAAAGTTTTAATTCTTGAATGAAAATTATACTATTATTTGTCATTTTTTAAAAACCCGGAAAGTATGAACGACATGAAAAGTAACTCAATAGATAACTTCGATCGGATAGAAGGTTGTATTGGACGCACTGCATTCTTATTTGGAAAATCTTAGGACCGAATATGGCCGTAAAACCTTTAGCTTGCTATTCGATTGTCCACGGTTCTCTTGAACGATCGATTTTAATAAATGGTTCCCAAACGACTGCCTTTTTCTATCAGCCACATACTGTAAAGTGGCTATACTGTTTTAGGCCTCGACTATTTACGATGGCAGTGGTAGTGGATCAGTGGAGTGCACTCCGTTTCAGACGAACGTGTGTGACGAGTTTTCACTTCGTTCATGGGCTTGGGGCTTTTACTCTTGAAGCTTGAAGAACTTGAACTCATGCTTTCTATTCTCTTTTGATAACGCGATGATAATTAATTACAATTTTGTACAGACGGTGGCTACTCGCCATTTATAGGTAGTCCAGTTTTAAATATATATATATATATAGTAAACAACCATAAAGCTTTAACAATTGGGTACAATGTGCAAGTTATGTGAACGGATGGTTTGATGGAATATTAACATCACTTAGAGGAATGTAACTCATCGCAATACATTTGAAATGGATTCTAACATCCAGTATATTATCATTTTTGAATAAAATTAACCGAACTGATTATGAATTCTAAAAACAACTGTAATTTTTAGTTTTTCACTGACAGTGCAAAAATGTATCTCATTAACAAGATTTCAGCGTTATATAGTCTAAAAAAGAGGTTTATTTATTTTTCATTTCGTGTTGGATTCCTTGAATTTAATACAAATACTAGATGTTTCTTACTAAGAAAATGGGAATTATTGAAAACAATGTGAAATACCGCTGCAAATACTTGCCTCCCTCCATCTTAGATTTACATTATCATTCAATTCATTCACCCTTCTCATATCTTCTAAAACAGCAAGAAAAAACATTCCCGCAACACTCGCTCCTACCTTTCCGATCTCTGTGAATCCCTTTCAGTAAAATTGCTGAATTTAACAAATCCTTCATTAACTGCACTAATTCCTAATGAAATTACGTTCCAGTCCTACTCCACAACAACCCTCTCAATATAACCTCAAAATTAGTTTTCCTTTCACCAGTTTTTGTTTGAATATTCTAAGGAAAATACCTTTAGTTCTTTTTTAAAACTTTCGTTAGGGCATCTCTTTGAAATGAAATTACGAAAAAATGTATAAAAGAATATATTTTCATTTAGTACAAATCCAGAAAAAAAAAATCCAAGTTAAGATATTTTTTGTTTCTTATAATCCTAATCACACCTGTCAAAAAGTAATATTAGTAAAATATAATGATACGAGAGGCATGAGGGAGTTTGAATTCATTTGAATTTACTATTAAGTTACATATTATAAGAACATGATGCTATATTAGGCTGCAATGTTGAAAATAAAAAAATAAGAAAATGAACTAATCGGAAATATTATCACCACTTGTGAGGACACATTTGTTGGAGCAAAGTATTCCCGATTTCTAATGCAAAGTTATTCGCAGTCGCATTCGTAATAATTACGGCGAAGAATGAGATTATTAACTAAAACTGATATTTGTTCATTAATCGCAGATAGAATTTGAACAACTTAAAAATAACAGTAATCTTTTTACTACCAACAAGAAGTCCTAGATTTAAATTTTTAAGATACAGTAACCGAGAATAAAGTGAGGAGATAGAAAAACAGAGAAAGAAAAATAGCACCTTCTAAAGAACTTTACTCCCAATAATCGTTAAATATTCTCCTTTCTTCTTGCCAGTCCTTTCGCGCCTATTACTACCACTAATGGGTCACATAGAGCCACCCGAAATATTTGACGTCATTGTAATAATGTTGTCCTGAATGAGCTCAAAAAATCCGCTTCCATGTTATCACTTTTAGAATGAGTATTTCTGTTTTAATTAGAATTCAAAACTCTCCGTGAGACGGCCTTCAGAAGTTCATGAATAAATGGAAAAAAAAATTTGCAGTATAGGACTTTAATGGAAGTCTTGGGCCAACGTTAGAAAAAAATATCTTTAAAAATAAACAAAAAAAAAAGTGTCTTTCAGGATTATTAGAATAAACCTTAGAAATGTTAGTTCCTTGGTCACAAAATGTTTTAATGAAATTTTTCGATTAAATTATGATAATTAATTAATTTTTAACTTTACTTCTCTGTATCAATGTATTGTTATTATTACTCATTGAGTAGAAAGATGACTAAAACATAAAAATTATATTTTCTTACTACCTTCAACGCCCTATTTTGGGTACCTAATTTAATAAATATTCATTTAATTATTTTGTGGTGTAAATTTTTTCCTTAATTGTACAATAGCACGAATTTTCTATCATTGATGCCGTCGGCCCGAATTCCCGAACCTGGAAGAGATCTAATGAACTACGGTGAACTACTCACCCTTAAGACAGAAGAAGACATTGCTTGGAAGAGGCGTGTCGAATGGAACTCGTATGTGTGAGCACATACGCAGGAGCTATTTATACGGAGGCTCCCTTCCACATGGTATCCACCCCTCTAGCTTCTCCTTTCTCCTAAATTCTCCCTCGGCGGGGCACCCACTATCTGGGTCAAATTCAAAACCTCACTCTCTCGGGATGGTCTGTATAATTGCAGCGATGGACTCCAATTGTAATCCTCCTCAAACAGCAGAGCAAGAGACCATGAAATATCATTTCTGGACCAGGTTTCAAATTATTTTTCTTTATTTTAGTTATACAATGTCATTTTAAATCAAATTCAATCTTGTTAATCTCATTTCAAATCGTGTAACTTGCATACCCTCGAAACCCGATCTACCAGTAAAATATTGGCTAAACAGAGAAAACTCTTGTCTTAATTTTCCATTATTGTATTAATTAGATCATGATAACTGTTTAATGTCGATTGACAGGAGCCATGCAGATTCTCCTATTTATCAATGGCGATAAATTGTCAGGAAGATGTCATTTTAAGATTTTCATTGTTGCCGACGTTTAAACTCAAGCATGTGGGTCATCATCAGGGTGTACACTTAAAGAGAAAAATTAAAGATTCTTCTTCATGCTCAAATTGTTTGTGTCGATGAGAAAAACGGTTTAGAAGGGATTTTTGAGAAGGGTATGGATTTTTGATTAACAGGAAGCAATTTACCTCTGTTCTGGTGTTTGAAGATCTGGCCGGAGAGCGGAAATGGATGAGAAATAAGATGGCGAATAAGAGTGCGAGCGTTGTAGAGTTTGAGATGGGCCAAGGTGAGATGTTTTAGTCAGCGGACGAATAGATCAAATCTCTAATGTAGCGGATTTTAGCGAATAAGTATTTTATAGATGGTCCCAGTTAGTGCCGGCCTTAGTGTAAGGCAATCAGGGCAATTGCTCCGGTGCACAAGCGGATCCAGGATTTAATTTTAAGGGAGCTTCAACCCGAAAGCTTTTTTTTTGCATAAAAATAACGATAATCACTTTGGAAAAAAAAGAAAGGAACTAACTATATGAAATGGTGTTAGTTACCTAAAGTCCTTTTAAATGTAATTACACGGACAATAATACATTAAGAGATAATTTTTTAATATTTTTTGCCATTAAACATGGTTATATTTTACCATTTTGGATGGGGGGCGAGGGGAGCAAAGCCCCAAAGCCACCCAGATAGATCCGCCCGTGCTCCCGGGCGCTGAGCTGTAGGACCGCCCTCTGGGGGCGCCGACCGATCTCCAGGGGTGGTTTATTTGTTAGAAATGAAAAAAAAATGCAAAACGTATTATAATAATTAATGCTAGCATGTCAATAAATCAACTGTATTTGAGAAATGGTGAAATAAAATTCAAATATTACATAATATAAAACAGCTTAAGAAATAAATTTTTTTTTTGAACTAGAGAGATGACGTCATGGTCCAGGGGAACGGTATGTCTAAGACCGACACTGGTCCAAGTGGTTAAATGAATTATTGATAGTGGTTAGTCGACTGTTATACATAACAAGGGTGGTTAATTGTCAGGACTATAACTATATTTATTTTAAAATAAAATAAAGCTTTTATTTATTTTGTATCTTTTAAAAAACACAAACATATATTGGTTTAGTAATTTTTTACTGGATCTTGGTACATTGTCTATAAAATTTCTGGCACCTATGATGAATTCTCCAAAATTATGTGTTTCTAATTTATATTAAATTGTGACATATAAATTCATGTATTTGTCCATTAGCGGGGCGGGACTGAATGCTATCAGCCAATGTTTATAACCTGAACACTGATAATTCTGATAAGGCCTTCTCGTAATTCCTATCTTCGTATACATATCTATTGTATTATATTCGTATTATTAAAATTGTTTTTTGCCACGTATGTAACCCTTAGCTATAGCCAATCCTTAAAATGTCCTCGGGCAGTGGAAGGAATTTGTTACATGTATATATTGTATTATTGTATACAATATATGTAAATTGTTTCAATAAACATTTTGGAGGGTAAGAAACGAAAAAAAAAATTGTAATTGTTAACAAAAACAAATGTAATAATAAAAAAATACCTTTATTTTACGACATATTTATGAAATTAATATACACATCTGATATATATATATATCAGGTATATCTATATATGACAAATATATATATGTAGGGAATGTGATAATTCCCACAACAATCAGAAAACCCTTTCATTTTACAACAATCAACAAGATAACACAAACAGGCCAAAAATAAAGAATTTAATAACTGAATGTAATAAGTGAATAACTGAAAAATGAACAACGTAATAACTGAAAGATTTGGCGAGATAAAAAGAGGGAGGTTATTTGACGTAACTTAGATAATAAAGGGAGCTTTCGTCCCGCTCGGCTAACGGACAAGTACCTAAATTCATATATCTTTATTTCTTAATAATGCATATTTAAATTTTTAATTATAAATAACTTGATAATGATGCGACTCGAAAGGTCGTTTTAATGATAGTTAAATAAATAGATGTCTGAAATAAGAAGAGTAATTATTATCTTGAAAATTCACTCTAGGGCAATCTTTTCCATTTTATATTATAGATGGAGGAGCTGCTGATTAAGACCGTAAATAATCCTCTGATATTCTCAATGAAAATGTTCTGTTTAATCCAACTCCTGGTGATTGATTACCGTAAGTCCTTTTCAGTGGATATCTTAAGCTGGAATATCTTTATTATGTGACTTGTAAGAAAAAGTAAACTCAGTAATTGTTATAGAGCGTTCAATATTAAGTGATAGTTAATAAATAAATAAATAAAGGTTACTGTAATAATGTGAATTGAACTTATTACAGAAATTGTAGATTATACATGAAAATCGCATGTTTATTTCGTTCATGTTTGTCTTGTTTATTATATTACATAAAATTGACAGATCTGAAATCAATTTAGAATAAATGGAATAAAAGATTACTGCAGCCCAAATTAATTTATTAAAAATAAATAGACCAACAATATGACAGTAGAAATCCTCCAACCAAAAATTAATTAAATGTATGAAATAATTTTGAACTGATCTCTACAAGAAGTTTAAATCTCCAGTGATTGGTAGTCTGCAACGACCCATCAGTGAATGACAGACCCATTAGATTTTGTAGTCTTATTTTTAATTATTACTGCAAGTATTTGCAATTTATTTTTACAGTTAGTAACGAGTAAATCAATGCAATATGATTTCTACAAGACGTTTAAAGCACCAGCGATCGATAAATCCAGTAGGTTTCTGTTTTGAAACGACACAGTTTTACTATCTCAACATTCTTCATAACTATACAAATCTTGGCAATTCAAATAATAATTGTTTTAAAAAATAATAATAATGGTACTTTTAATTTTTGTTCCTTCTCTTTCATTCATTCTCCTCAGGTGGATTTCATCTAATGATTTTGTGTCTTCCTCAAAGACTCAAAACGTACGTGATAGACCCATTAGGATTTTGTATTCTTATTTTTATGTATATTATAAAACTTCTCCAGCATTACTCCAGACCATCACATTTCCCTCTCTTCATTCATAATCTGATTAAGGTACCAATATTCCAGTGTGTCAATTTCACTGAAAGGACAGCTGCCCGCTCTGACATTAAGGGTTCATTGCTTTACAAACTGTATTTCTGTATCTTCCTTTAAAGTTCCGGCTATGGATGGTTTTTAATTGCCAAGAACTCTTAAAATTCCATCTGATGACTTTGAGCTTTCTGCTAGATACTCCTGAATTTTAATGCTTCCGGAGCAATAGAGATCATACGATCTAGTATTCCTTCAATTTTTTTTTCAAAAGTTTTTTTTATATAACCTTTAAATGTAAATTGGTAGGACGGTGTATCTCAGAGGTAAGTAAGACACTGATTTCCTGTACTCAAGGTTCCAGGTTCTAGTCCGGTTGTGGCAAGGTAATTATTTATTGTGTTTCATAAGCCGTAGATGTACCGTGGGATCAGAGTACCTTCCTGGAGTACCTCGACCTCTATCAAGTGGGTGCTCTTAATTGAATAATTAATTAAGTGAAAAAACGTTGCGGATGAACGCGATCTCGGCCTAACCACCTCTCTGGACAACCTTAGGCCTTGAAACACTTCCTGACGAAGTTCTGAACATAAAACTTCCCATGGTTTGAAGTGGCACAGATGTTTTAAACATGAAGCGATAAAGATCTTAATAACTTATTTTCCACTATCAGGTAGTTCAGTAAGCTGCACTATAATAGAATTTACTAAACATTCAGGAGGATATTTATATTAAACTCTTTTAGATTATCACGGAAAATAGATTAATATTTTAAAGTCATCCTTACCAAGTGGCTGTCTTCAAATTTCCTGTCATGTTTGACCGGCGTTACCTAACAGATTTTAAATACGTAAATGGCCTAATACTTTTAAATCACAGCGTTAGATAACACATTAATACAGTTGTCGAAGCAGTATATTAATGAATTAATGAAGGCCTTGCATCTCCAAGTTATACAAGTTGCCAGCATAAATCCTAACTCCAAGGCATCGTGTTGAGTGCTCAGCGAGTTTAACGCTTTCTAATAATCACTGATAAGTCATTTCGGTGAAGTTATATTTGAAGATGCTTCATCTTCATTACTGATTTTAACGTTAAATCTTATAACGAGCTTTTATGATGGAAAAACTTGTCAAGCAAGTCTATTTATTTTCTTATTGCCAATATTCCATATCCACAGGTTTAACTATTGATGCATTTCATTTCTTTGAAGATCTTTATCGGCTGAGGTGAAGAAGAATTGCACAATTTAATAATATTACGATGGAAGAAGGTGAGATCTATGTCATGGCATATAAAAAAGGTAATTTAAATTATTCATTATGAAATATTATCGTACTTTAGCATGCTGTGGTGTACATCTGATTATGGGTGTATAAAAACAAATTTCTTTCATAAAGAAAATAAATAAATGTTTGATATCATCAGACCACCAATATCACTTAAGCACTTAC